ATTCCCCCCCCAGGGGGGATGGTCACGCCGCAATCCCTTCTCCTCCATTCTCCTCTCGGGATCTTGGGCACGCACGCACACGCGCCCGGCGTGAGTTTTAAGCCACCGGGTCCGGGACACGAACCGCGGTCGACTACGTGGGAGTCCAGTGACATAGCCATTACGCTAACTGCTGGTTCCCTCTATGGCAAGTTTTAAAAAGGAAACAAGCTCAGGTGCCTGCTCCATCCTAAACAGAGTCCTCACAGAACCCAACCACAGCGCACGGGCCCTTCCAACCAGACCCAGTAAAAGTCTGCCGCACGACCAGTGGCCCCGTTTACAATGCAGGAAAACGACAGACAAAACTCACTCTCAAGTCTGCCTGAGCTTTTTTGCAGGTAACCAACTTGCCCACTTTGTAGGCCTGGTACGGAGGGCCACATAAAGACCCCACAAATCAGGTCCCTGTCTGCATCCTCAGGTCTCCCAGTACACTCCAGGCAGGCTGAAGCCAGGGGCGGACGGCACACTGAAAACCCTGTTGGCAAGGCCTGCCCTCCCTCATGGAATACACTTTCTTAAAAATTAACAATTAGGGGGTAGACAGTGGCCGAGTAGAAAAGCCACTGTAAAACCAGGCCCTCTGGCAGGCTGACCTGTGTGGCAGGGCTCCTGTGGGATCCACAAGGCTGGCTGCTAGGTTCCAGTCCCGGCCCCAGCATCTTTAAAATCACGGATGGCAAGTGCGTGTGGGTGCCTACCCTAAGAGAATGGAGAAGGGACTGCGGGGTGGCCACTTTCCCTAGGGGTGGGGAGAGGGTGATCTCTCGCTTTCCCTCTCTGACTAGCCCATCTACCATGTAACCAGAAAAAAAGGAAACAGTAATCATCGGTGACTGCGTTTTGCTCTAGTTACTGAAAGGGAAGGAGGGGAACTACCAGGTGCCCCTACAAGGCGTAAGGTACCAGCTGCAGTAATGCACCTGTCCGGCCCGGGGACTGGTGCGCCCCAGGCGGAGGACTAACCCTAGGAGGGCCCAGGGAGGGCGAGGACCCCAGCGCGCTCCATGCTCCAGGCGGCCCTGTGCACCTGGCGCCACGCCGGGCGCACGTGGAGGCCTGGCCGGCTGCCGAGCGAAAACGGACGTGCGCCGCAGCGCAGCAGTAACGGGGATGGTCTCGGCTCAGCGCCCAGCTGCGCGGGGCGTGGGCGCGCGGCACGGCCCCGACCATC